CCGGGCGCTCGGCTCGCGGCGCCGCGCGGCCCGGAGATCTGCCGCGGCTCTGGGGCGGGGGCAGCATCGGGAACACTTGGGCGGCGGGTACCAGCTCTGCCCACCCCCTTCTGGGCTTGGTTTCCAGGAGGCCTATTTCAAGAAGCACAAGTTCAACACGGTCCCCAATGTCCAGCTGAAAAATGTGGAGAGGTGAGTGCCAGCCACTGCCCCGGGGCCCTCGGCTCTCGGGATCGCCGCGGTTCTTGGCCCCTCCGCGTGATCCCTTCCCCACTCCATCATGCTCCGGGGATCTCGTGCCTCGGTCCTTCCTGGACACGGCCCCTGTGCTGTGAGCATCCCTTGCTCGCGGGTCTCTGCATGCTCTGCATCCTTCCCCTGCAGCCTGAAGAAGGACGCCTACGAGATCGAAATCCACCGGCTGCTCAGGTGAGGGCGTCCCCGGGGCTCGCGGGACCTCGCTGGAGGGCAGCCAGGGTTGCCTTGTTGGCCGCGGCCCATTATTCGTCCAACACCCAGCACTGGGTGGGGGAAAGGGGTCCCCGGTCCGCATCTCACCGGCCTGGCGTGCTCTCCTCAGCGAGGCCGAGGTCCTGGACCACGGCAAGAACCCGTGCGAGGACTCCTTCCTGCCCGACACCGAGGGCAAGACCTACGTCATGTACATCAGGATGGAGCAGGAGGCCGACTTCACCACCTGGACGCAGCTGGCTAAGGTGACTCGCGGACCCCTCCCCACCCAGCCGAGTGCTGCTGCATGGGGACAGGCAGAGCAAAGCCCGTCTGGGGGGTGCAGTGTCAGGATCTGGCTGCCAAGAGCATGGGAAGGGGAGCCAAGGTCCTGGGTGCACGCAGGGCATCTCATGGAGGCAACTGGCTGGTCCCTAGGCCTGGCATTAGCCCTCCCCATGGGTGGGCCAGTGCCCATGCTCTGTCTCCCTGCCCCAGTGCCTCCATATCTGGGACCTCGACGTCCGGGGGAACCACAAAGGCCTGTGGCGGCTCTTCCGCAAGAAGAACCATGTGCTGGTGGTGGGCGTCCCGGCCTCCCCGTACTCGTGAGTATGGCTCTGCCCGGGCTGGGGTAGGGGCTCCCCTCCAGCTCCAGGTACTGGGCCCTCTCCCCGGACGGGCATTTACCCTTAGTGCTGCATTTACCCCCTGAACCTGCTGTGCAAAGATGTGTGGCGGGGGGCGTCTTGATCCCTCGAGTCCAGGCTCTGACCTGCTGCCTGTGCCCCACAGGGCAAAGAAGCCGTCCTCAGTGACCCCCATCTACATGGAGCCCCCCGCCAAGGACGAGGCCGCCGGACCGGCGATGGCCGTCGAGCAGACGTGAGGCTGGCGCCGGTGGAGTCGCCACCGCCCAGGCGGAGGAGGAGGAGCGGGGCCATGGGACGACGGGGGAGCAAATCGGCGATGCCCTGACGCGGGAGGACCCCGTCCCCGGTTTGGGGCCTGTGAGATTTTACGCCACCCCCACCATGCAAGCCCCTGGCTGTTTTAACACTGACTCCATACTAACTCTTCCTTGCATCCCCAGGGATGGGGAAAGACGGGGACGCTCCCCATGCACTGGCTCCTGCTTCACCCCACAGCGGGTTTGGCCGCCTGTGAAGCCCTGACTGCTTCAGGTTGGGTTTTATTTATTTGACTGCGGTGCAGCCAGCTCTTGGCAGGCACGTGCCCCTCCGGCGGCTTCTCCCAGTACCCCGAGCGGGGCTGCGGGCTGGCTCTTCCTAGACACGACACATCCCCCTCCTCAGTGGGCAGGAGGGGACATGGTGCACCCCGGATGTGGAAGGACTTTGGGGGCTTGCGCTTGCTCTGTCTCATCCGGCGGGCCCCTGCCCCTGCCTTGCTCACCCCCCGGTTTTGCCCCCCGTACCGGCGTGCTCCTGGACTCGAGCGGGGGGCGCCGGCGTCAGTGACTCTGCAAGGCCGCGTGTGCACTGGGCTACGCCCGGCCCGGGTGCCCAGGGACCCCGGTGCTTGCCCCACTGGGATGCTCAAGGGGAAGAGCGCAGCCCGCCAGCAAGAGGATGAAGTGCCTTGCTGAGCGAGGGTGGCGATCGGCCTCCCCTTCCCCCCCGGCCGCCGGGTGGAAAGCGCTGGGGCCCATCCCACCCCTTGCAGCCTCTGCGGGGGCACGTGCTGGTGCGATGGCTCCCGCTTCCCCGCGGTATGAGCCCCTGCGCTGCGTTGGGTGCAAGGGAGCTGCCATCTCGTGTCCTCCGGATGGGGCAGCTGGGTACGCGAAGGGCAGGAATTCAGGGACCTGGAGGATGTGGGGTCCCCTCCCCACTGCCGGTGCCTTAGCGGGGTAGGGCATGGTGCTGACCATGCCTTCCTTCTACATCCTCCGCCTGCAGCCCGTGGCCAGCGTCTTTGTGGCCCTGTCCTTGCAGTGGCCAATGCATATTTTCCCCTTTTTGGCCAATTAGCTCCTCAGGAAGGGTTTCCCGAGCTGCATCTCTGCGGCCTGTGAGCCAGCCGCGGGCTGCCGGGCTCGCGGGGTCCCCGTGCCACAGGCACTTCCACTAAGCAGCTCTGCTCCCTGGCTGTGCCCCAGCCCCAGGGCTGGCAAACTCGTCCTGGGGGCGCAGTGGTGGCCCCCGGCCCTGCCCTGGGTCCCTGTCAGGCCAGCAGAGCCCCAAGGCGGTAGCATTTGGGTTGAAGCGCCGGTTTCAGCCCTGGCACGCCGAGGCAGTCGTTGACTCGGGGGTCCGGCTGCCCACGAGCTGGAGCTTTGCAGTCGGCAGGGAGGTCGCGGGTTAAATGTGGGGGACCACCTCCTTCCAGGACAAGGGTGCACACGTGAGCTGCTTGCAGTGTGGGACACCCACCCCCAGCCTCCTTCCCTGCTGCTGCCTGGGCCAGGTACATGGGCACGGTCCCTCGGCATTTTGAGGGGCGCTCCGGGGGCCTCATGCAAATAAAGCTGGGGTGGGTGGGGGGTTTATCCTGAGACTGTGACCCCAGATCCAGGCAGCACCCTGCATCCGACACTACCTTAACTTATTTATTTATTTGCCCGTGGGTGCGCGGGTTGGGAGCAGGAGGGTGCCCGGGAGCTGCGGCTGGCCTGGGCACCGTGTTCCCACCACCTGGGCCACCTTGTCCCGTCTGTTTACTCCGAGCTTTTGCTCGGGAAGTGGCCTTTGGCAAGGCGACGGTGGCCCGCCGGGCACATCTCTCCCTCCTCCCCACCACGATTACAGTCGAGCCTCATTGCTTTTTGCTAGCGACCGGCCCCCTGCTCCGCGTCTAGGAATCCTCCGAAGCCGTGAGCTGAAATAAATGCGGAGGGCCTGGACCCCGTACTCATTTTTGATGCCCTTCTCCATTGTGGTGTTCTTGGGGCCGAGGGAAAGGATTAGGGACGGGTCCCTGCCCGTGTGACGCCACGTGGCAGCACCCCAACTACCCCGACATCTCCAGGAGGGAAGGAGGGAGAGAGCTGCTAGGAACAACCCTGTAGCAATGCTAGCAAGCTGCGAGGTCTCAAAGAGAGGTGGCTTGTTCTCATCCTCCTCCTTTTTCCCTGCAGTCTTTGAGAAAACCCATAAAAGCTCTTTTTTTTTTTTCCTGTAGGAGGTGGGGGAAATCAAGATCTTCTCCCTCACTCTTCACTTGACAGCCCAAGTGGGGTTTCCCCTGGAGAGGCTGGGTTTTGACAGCCCAGATGCATGGGAAGGGCCCCTTCATCCAGCAAGGAAGGGGTAGGGATATTTAGGAGCCTTTTGTTCACTTAAAATGTTTTTGAGTTTGTAAAATCCCAAGAGGTCTTGGCTTCTGTGCAAGAGGTAACAGGTCACCACCTGCCCCCCCCTGCCTCCGGGTCTATAAGCCATGCAGAAACCCTTGCACGCATTCCTGTGATGTGGTTGCAATGGAGGGGGCGAACCCACAAGCAGCTGGATCCAGGCTTACCCCGGAGCTGTACGTCTGGCGCCCGCAATGTGCACCCCTTGCCTCGTGTCTGCACCCAGGTTTCCCCACTGCCTTTCGCAGGCAAAACTTCTTAAATAAAGTTCTTCTTTTGCATTCCCTTTTTTCCCCGATCTCCGTAAGGTTTTATCCCCACAGTGCTGCTTCCGCTCCTCCGTGGGTTTAGACCCGTGGGCAGTCGGATGAGGTGGCCGCGCTCGCATCCTTGCACCTTGGCTCTTTCAAGGGCAGGGTGTCGAGGGGGATCCTCTAATGCAACTTCCTTTTACAAGATCCCCTTCCAGCAGCTGAATGTCTCTGTAGCCATTGCTGCACATGGTGCCCCGCCGGCTTGTCCATCTGTTGACCCCAAAGACGGCTGCCCTGGTCATCCCGTTCAGGACCAGGTTTCACCCCATAGTTCAGTCCTACTGCACCCAGCTGGTTCGAAATGTCCTTCTCCTCCTGCTAGGTCTGTTCTCCAGGTACCACTTCAGCGTTGTCCAACCTCCTCCTCCCTTTCCTCTGCTCCATCCCTCTCTCCTCTTTCAGACTCGCTTTGCTGTAAGCAAAGATGCGGTCCGAGAGGCTGCCTGGCCCTGGGGGCTGAGTCCTGTGCGCGCTCGATCAGGGGACACGGGCGGTGCGAGAAGCTGTTGCTTTCTGAAGCCAGTTATTTTTTCAGAATAAATCTTGCAGATCTGTTGACCGCAGCGTGGTTGGCCTCTGTCTCTAGATGCATGGGGACAGGTTCTGCATCTCCTCTGTGGCCTCCTGCCAAGCTACAGCCCCAGCCTGGGGACAGTACATGATGGGAGCTGAATTACTTGAATGCATGACCTGCTCCGAGGTGGCTCCATCCTCTTGCGCTGGGAGGATGCCTCGGGTATGTGGGAGCTCCTAACCGGATTTAGCAACCTCTCAAGCTCTGCCTGGCGGGTTTTGCTCACCTGTCCGGGATGAAACCAGTTGCCAGTCTCGGGGCCTTGAGGGAATTTGCCCCCACTTCAAGGCCTGATTGGGGACAGGGGGCAGTGCATTTCCTAGCCCCTTCAGAGCATGCTTGACCTCCATTGACAGTGACCTTGGGCTTCCTCCTGGGCCGTGCTGGCGGAGAGGGGTATATTTTGGGGTGCTTTATGGCTTTGCTGGACCAGAGGGGATGACAGATGTCCTTGCAGGCCCATTTGCCCTGCAGACCCACTTTTATTTATATATTGCAGACCCACTTGTGTGTTTGTGTGTGTATATGTATGTGTATATGTATATATAAGAAAGAGCTACGGTTTTCACATTCCCAAAGCATAGACTTCTAAGAACGATGCCAAAAATCATGAGAGTTGGCAACATTGCACTTGTCCTGATGGTTGCTGGGGGGTGGCATGCGCTCTCAGGGCCCTGCTCCTAATGATGAAGCAGAGGAAAGGGGGCAGAAGGAAGCTGTGATCACGGCAGGAGGACGGTTGATTGCCACGCTCGTTAGAGGGGGCAGCTGAGAGGAAACGAGCCGCCCTGACTCCATAGCTACTGCTTGCGACGGGGTGGATGGTCTTCACGGGAATGGCAAGCCTCCACCACGGTTTACTTCCCAGCCCGGCCTTGAGCTCATCCTTCACCCTATTTCCTATTTACCAGTCTCCTTCCTCTCCAACCTGAGCCATCACTGCTGCTAATTAGGCTGGCTTTTAATAGCATCCCCCCCTGCAGTGAGCTCCCTTGCAAATGTCCCTAGTTGGGTGGGTTTGAGGTGGATGGGTCCCACTCCGGCTAGGACAGGGCTACAGGGCTCCGTGAACCTTGCCTCGTTAGGGTTGGGTTTCAAAAGTGGAAGCAAAGAGCATGTTCAGCAAGGGGCTCCCCCATTTTTTGCCCTGTCTCCCTGGGGCAGGAGAGGAGGGTGAGTTGCCTTTTCTACTCCCCAATGGGTGCAGGGGCAGATTTACACCCATGAAGCTGATGAAACTCTGCTGCCATTGATGGTGTCCCATGGGCTTCACCGGTCCTCCTCCCTGCCCACGATACAGCCCAGCTCCTAGGCTGGACGGGGCAATGGTTTCTTAGGAAAGAAGTTGGAAAAGAGCTTTTCCTTCAGAGAAATCCTCCCCTAGTGAACTTCAAGGTTGCTCTGAGGACCATTTTCTGCAGGGTTTCCCTTGCTGTATTGCCTAGTGATAGAGAAGTAGGGCCGGAGGGGACCTCCAGCGGTCATCTAGTCCAAAACTGGATGCACCACTGGAAACGGGAGTAGCCTTTGGGTGTTGGGATTGGGCCAAGTGCTCAGTCTGAGTGTGCAGAAAAGGACAATTTCCTTGAGCTTTCCCAGTTAGTCTAATAAAAGGTGTCAGTTTGGAACCAAGCGTTCTAGTTTTTTGTATGCCAGGTTTGAACGAGGCATTCAGCTCTCAGCATCCCCAAAAGGTTAGGGGAGTCTTGATGGAAACTACCTACCCTCCTCCTTATTCCCTTTGCAATTCAGCAAGTACAAGGAGCAGGTGACTGTGCCCGAAAGCTTGCAAAGAACTTTTTTCCAACTACTCAGTTGGTCTAATAAAAGATATCGCGTCTACTCAAAAAAACCCTTGCCTGGATGAGGTGCAAGAAAAAAAGAAGGGGCCCGTTCCTTTAGTTTCAACAAAGAAGTGCAATTACCCCGTGCTGCTGCCTTATCTGCTCGAGCAGGAAAAGCTGGGAGAAATCTTTCAGGTGCAACCTCTTTTTCCCCAAGCCCCAACTGGGATTAATTAAAGATGAATTGTTTTGCAGCCTGATATGTAGATATTTGAGCTGCCTCAGGTGGGGGGAATGCCAGCAAAAGGGGAAGGCTTTCATCTTGACCTTTTTGGAAACAAAAGGCTTGCTTTGAACGCCTCCGATGTTTTCCTCTT